ATTAATTAATTAATTAATTAATTAATTAATTAATTAATTAATTAATTAATTAATTAATTAATTAATTAATTAATTAATTAATTAATTAATTAATTAATTAATTAATTAATTAATTAATTAATTAATTAATTAATTAATTAATTAATTAATTAATTAATTAATTAATTAATTAATTAATTAATTAATTAATTAATTAATTAATTAATTAATTAATTAATTAATTAATTAATTAATTAATTAATTAATTAATTAATTAATTACATTTAATTGTAAGTAACTGGGAAAGTAAGCATTTAATTAATTACATTTTATCCTGCCCATCTAGTAACATTATTATTTATTTGTTAGATTATTTATTTGCAAAATTATTACTTACATTTTTATCCCACCCATCTGGTAACAGAGTACCATTCTGGACAGCTAACGACAATAAGGAGAATAAAAATAATAACCTACCCAATAAAAAAATATTGAGAAATAAGGAGAATAAAAATAATAACCTACCCACAACATAAACCCACAGATAATAAAAACCTGCAAAAGAACACCCAAGGTGATGGGTAAACAAACTCAAAATTAAAACATGTAGGTCTGTCAAAGGAGGAAGATGTTACCAAAGGCGACTTTAGAAAGCTCAGTTTTGACCCATTTTCTGAAGGTCAGGAGGGAGGAAGCCTGGCAGACCTCAGCAGGCAATGCATTCCATAGTGTTGCAGCCGCTGGCAAGACGGGCCATTTGCCGGTAGTAGTTTTCTGGGCTTCTCTAGGGTTGACCACTTGCAGCCACAAAGCTTGGATAGACTGGGTGGCCCAGGCAGGTTATCTTAAGGAGAGACACTCTGAGAGGTAGAAAGATCTCAGCCTATGAAGGGTTTGTTGAACTTCAGTAACAATCCGTTGTTGTTGTTGTTGTTGTTTTAAGACTGCTGAATTGGCCTTAGAGGGCTAAGTTGAAATTTAAAGCAAAGGATTTGATGACTATGCTAACATTTGACCACTATGCTACAACACGTGGGGATGCTTGTATCAGATCCTCGGTTCATTCGCTTATCCAGGGCCAAGTGAAACTTGGAAAGTTTGCAGCTTTCTCCCACGGGCTGAAAATGTTCCATTTTGTACAACCACTTCCAGAAAATAGGAAGAGCAGCGGTCTTGCTAGCTAGGAGATTCTAAGAGTTATCACCCAAAACATAAGCAGAACAAACCCAAATTCTGGATTCTACCATGTTCTATGATAGGTTGAGGCTGGAAGATCCTAAAAAAAACTTTCTGGAATTATCAGGAAGCCCTTTCCTCTGACAGTGTATAAACTACATCCCCTTCCCTTCTTTCCATGACTATGCTGCTGCTTTTACACCATCTTTCTCTTTCCCATCTTCCTTCTAAAGTACTGGCCATGCACGAGAATGTATTAAAATGTCCAACGCCTGGATGTACTGGACAGGGTCATGTGAACAGCAACCGCAATACTCACCGAAGGTAGGTGCTACTCTCTCAATTATTCATACCTAGCAAAACTTCAAGTTTTGCTAAAACTAAATGAAAAGATTTCAGGCGGAAATGGGCACCAAATAAGGATGTTGGGTTCCTTAATGTCAAATTTCCATTTAGTGTACAAATAAATTGCACAGTTAAAAAAAGAACAACTACATAGACACTGGATGGAAAATAGGTTTAGTCAAACAAATATTTTGGGCTTTTTTACCATCTCAAATTCACCATTGGGCTAAGGGACTTATTAAGCTCCAGCTGTTATTTAACATTATCCAAGGAAAGGTGGTCTAGTGTAGTGACTAAGAGCCTAAGCCGCTAATCAAGAAGACTCAGGTTTGAATCTGCCATGAACTCACAAGATATCTCTTAAAACCTGAGGCATGTTTTGCAGTCTAAGGTGAATGAGACAAAATCTTCTCCTCCCCTCTGTTCCATGTATCTGTTATCTGGCTTGGCTGAAAAAAAAATCTTCCTTTGGCCACAAAATTAAAAGATGCCTGCTTCTTGGGAGGAAAGTGATGACAAACCTAGACACCATCTTAAAAAGCAGAGACATCCCCTTGCCGACAACGGTCCGCATAGTCAAAGCTATGGTTTTTCCAGTAGCAATGTATGGAAGTGAGAGCTGGACCATAAAGAAGGATCACCACCAAAGAACGGATGCTTTTGAATTGTGGTGCTGGAGGAGACTCTTGAGAGTCCCCTGGACTGCAAAGAGAACAAACCTAGCCATTTTGAAGGAAATCAACCCTGACTGCTCACTGGAAGGACAGATCCTGAAGCTGAGGCTCCAATACTTTGGCCATCTCGCCATCTCATGAGAAGAGAAGACTTCCTGGAAAAGACCCTGATGTTGGGAAAGTGTGAAGGCAAGAAGAGAAGGGGATGACAGAGATGGTTGGACATTGTCACCGAAGCGGCCAACATGAATTTGACCCAACTCCAGGAGACAGGAGGACCTGGCGTGCTCTGGTCCATGGGGTCATGAAGAGTTGGACATGACTAAACAACAACAACAACAATGGAAGAAATTCTTCTACTACACCTTCCGGCAGCAGGCAAGCTTTGGGAAGTCTCACATGTGGATCACACAGCTTTGTGCTTGAACTCCAAACCATTACTGTATTTCCAAATCCTCTGCCTTCCCCAGGCTAATGCTAAGTACGCCTCTACAGCAATGGTTCCCAACCTGGGGTCCATAGTTCTAGTTCAGCTGCAATATGACAGCAAAATGAGGTTGCTTTTAAGAAGCACAGCAAGTGAATGCATTTGAATTACTTTGAACACTGTGTGTATTGCTATTGTATTAATTTCCTTCCTTGCTTCCTTCCTTCCTTCCTTCCATAAGCTTATAAGGGTGCCCCATTGCAGCTGCAGAAAAACTAGCCAAATCTCATGAGAAGCAGCAGCCTCCGACCGGTGACCCTTCAAAGAGTAACTCAAATTCTGACCGGATACTCAGGTAATTGAGACATAACAAATCAATTCCAAACCACAGGATTTCTCCTGTTTTCCTGTCTTCCCCCCTTCAACACGCACTCTCACAACTCTATGACAGGTCTGTGAACATTAAGTCACCACTGGTATATCATGTGCTTGCTGATATTTTTTCTTACCGTCAAATGAAAGAAAATGGAGAGTACACATCTGACTGATGCTCCTACTGAGGGCATGCAGAACACTGAACCGCTTCCAGTGAAACAATAAATGTTGGGATAACAGGTTGAAGGGATTTAACAGTGCACTGAGTAGCATCCATACAGATTATGCTGCAATGTAAAACTGCCAGAGTGTTACAAATTTTATACAGATATTAGAAGCAAGGAGACAGAAAACCACTGCAATTTTTCTGTTATAACACATCCGCTTGCCCTTCTGTTTCCTAGACTTCCAGGAGCAGAATATGGCCCAGATTAATAAATACAACATGTAGACTCTTTCCCACTCCAGTTATCATGTGACTATACTGTACATTGCATCTGCTAGACCAGTGGTTCTTAACCTTTGTTACTCGGATGCTTTTGAACTGCAACTCCCAGAAACCCCAGTCAGGACAGCTGTTGGTGAAGGCTTCTGGGAGGTCATGTGACTATACATTGCATCTGCTAGACTATTGCAATATAAGAGAATGTATGCATGCATGAGATTGAATCTCTTCCATGTAGATTCGTTGATAAGGAATACCATAGTTTTCTGTGTATAAAACAACACTTTTTCCTAAAATCATTAGAGGAAAAATTGGGGGTCGTCTTATACATGGAGGTGGAGGAGCAGCCACGCTCCGCCACCTCTCGTGGATGCCCATTAAAAAAAACTGGTGACTTATTTTGGTCTTTCAAAAGGGAGGAGCAGCCACGCTCCGCCGCCTCTCGTGGATGCCCATTAAAAAAACTGGTGACTTATTTTGGTCTTTCAAAAGGAAGCAAATGATGCATCTCCCCACAGAAATGTAACTCACAGTACAAACTGTTGTGTAAAAACAATGTTGTCTTTCCCTTCTCCTCAGGCCTATGTGCTTTGTGAAGCAACTGGAGGTGCCTCAGTATGGGAGCTACAGGCCCAATATGGTTCCCACCACGCCAAGAGCCAACTTGGCCAAGGAACTGGAAAAGTACTCCAAGGTCACCTTCGATTATGCAAGTTTTGATGCTCAGGTTTTTGGCAAACGCATGCTTGCCCCAAAGATTCAGACTAGCGAAACCTCACCTAAAGCCTTTAAATGTAAGTTGGGGCTGGATAGGGATAGCACTATGGAATACCCAGAAGGGTACACTGTTGTTTCTTGTCATAACACACCTATTGCCCTGTGGAATCAGACCAAAGGCCCGTCGGGTTCAACTGTCTTAGTCACGCCCGTGGGCCACCGGATGGTTCTGGGATATGCCCAAGCAATGCAACCGCACTTATTGAGTGCTTATTCCCCACAAATGGCCTGCAGCCTCTGGACCTCATGTTCTTCCTTCGCTCTCCTGGTTACCAGCCACTGATGGAAAAGTCCCATTGCTCATGAATTTCTTTAATCTTTTTCAAAAAACACACATACCTGTACAAGCCATCCGTCTTCGTCTACGTTGTGGCAGCAAATCCGATAACCTAATTACAGGTTATTCATCTTGAGCCTCCTATTAATACATGTTATTAGATTATCCTAAATTCTGTTATTGTGAGGAGTGCATGATGTGTTGTTACCTGGGGATATGTATAATTTACACTGGCAGTCATGTTTTAACAAAGTTGGAAGGAGCAATTTAGAGAGAGGTGGAAGAAGATGCAATGCTTGTCCTGTGCAGTTTCGTTATACAAAAAGCCCCCAAACTAAATGTCCTACCAACAAAGGATTGCAAACCAGTGTTATTCAGGACAACTTTCTCCCCGCTCGGGCCCTTATTTTTGGGAATCAAGCATGTTATTGTCTGCATGGATTCATCCTGAGCCCTATTTTTTGGTATTGGAATTGGGAGGGGAGTGATGAGTATGGAGATAATTTGTGTACAACGTATACAAGCAAGTGATGGTAAGTAGAGCTCACCCTATGAATGGCTTTGATGTGCCCCACCCCACCCCCGGGCATCTGCTCTGTGCCCACATCCGGACACACGGGTTGGTGTCCAGCCTGCCCTGTTTACTTCTGGAGACACTCCAACCACAACTTTGTGGTTATATTCCACAACCATTGTTGTGGACCACAACATTCCATGCAGGATTTCTGCATTTACAATCCTCTGGAAAAAGCATGTTTTTCTCAATGGAGAAATAGAAATGGCTAAGTGATGTCATAGACCAAAGGCAAAAATCAGGCTGGAAGCCCTCCTGCCTCTCTTGGTACCACTCAGTCTATGGCCTGGCCTTTGCATTTCCCCTTATCTATGGGCAGAAAGGAGATGTGGTGGCACTGCGGGTTAAACCGCAGAAGCCTCTGTGCTGCAAGGTCAGAAGACCAGCCATCGTAAGATCAAATCCATCCATTGCTTGTCCCAGCTCCTGCCAACCTAGCAGTTTGAAAGCATGTAAATGCAAGTAGATAAACAGGTACCACCACAGTGGGAAGGTCACAGCATTCTGTGTCTAGTCGTGCTGGCCACATGACCACGGAAACTGTCTTCGGACAAACGCTGGCCCTATGGCTTGAAAATGAGGATGAGCTCTGCATGCTAGAGTCGAACACAACTGGACTAAACGTCAAGTGGAATCTTTACCTTTACCTATGGGCAGAAAAGGGGCTTTCCCAGAGAACTGAAAAGGCACAAATACTGATCCAGTTTTGTACAAGATTCTAGTTGGAGGGTTTCCAAAATGGTGCAAGACTGGGCCAGCAACAATCTGTGTGCCCAGACAATGCATATCACTGTTGGAAAACAAGCCCTCTGCTTTATGAGAGGGTGAGGTGCGTTTTGTTCCCAGAAATATGCGTTGCTCAACAGACTTCAATAAACACAAAAAGGAAAAAGAGCAAAGAGGTCCATCTCCCTACATGTATTTGAATTCCTGAGAGGCACACCACAATGCAGTTTTAATGGAAACCCTTATAGTATTCTGGGAATGTGGCAGCACGCTTGGTTAGTGGGTAAACCTTTCGCCTCAGTAGACCTGCCCATAAATCTCACTCTCTTCACCCATAGGTTTGCAGGGCCATTCCACTGCTGAGGAGCACAATATCTCTTCTGGATTAGACCACCAAGCTGATTTAGTCCAGCATCCTTTCCTTCACATTAAACAACCAGTTGCCCCTAAGGAAACCCATAAGCAAGGCATGAAGGTGTAGCCCTCCTTCCCAGCTGTCGCCCCCACATAGAGAATCTTGCAGTGACATGGAGTTGCAGACAGCTCTCAAGGCTGTCATTTCGGAACTATCCTCTAGGAACTTTCCTCTATGAATTTATCTAGTCTTCTTTTAAGCCAGGAGTGAGCAATGCTCATCACTGGGGCAGTCATTCCCTCCCTTCTGCCCCAGAATTTTCAGGCAGAAGTCCCCAGATGGCATTGATGCTGGTTTTCTTGCCGCCGTATCATGGGGATGAAAAAGCAAGGTTTGCTGTTACCTTTAAAGTCTTCATTTTTTCCCCCATTCAAATGGGTGAGCATCCCCTCACACTTTGTTTACCAATAAATCTAGAAGCACCACTCTGCTTCTAAACCATGGAGAGCAACATCATTGTGTGCTCTCAAGTCCATTCTGACTTACAGCGACCCCTTTCAGGTTTTTCCAGGTAGGGAAAACTCAGAAGTGGTTTATCATACCTTCTGAGGGTATCCTGGGACTGAGCAATTTGCTCAAGACCACACAGGCTGGCTCTCCTCGCAGGAGGCACCGCGAGGAATTGAACTCCCAAAATCTGACTCCACAGCCAGATCCTTAAGCCACTAAGCTATCCAGCCAGCTTATACATAAGCCTTGCATAAAATGAATTAAATAAAAAAAGCAATGCCAAAATACTTCTTTCCCAGCTGCACTGCAGGATTTTAGTGGCAAAACGGAGAGGCAGAAGAAGACCCCTCAGGTGCTGTGAAATTGGATGGACAGCTATTAGGTAGCCCATGGGCTATACGGTGCCTCTGGGCTAGTTGGGGGCCCAATCCTTTTGAACACCCTAAGCCAGTGATCAGGCTTCTCGACACGAAGCCACCTAGACTGGATTGATGTACTCGTGAATGATCCTTTGGCAACCATCATACATCACTCCCCCTGTGTTACTCCCTTTTTACAGCCAAACCTTTTCCAAAGGCCTCTTCCCCTGGCCTCAGTCCCTCCAGCAGTTACGTGAAGAGCACTTCGTCTTCGTCCACAGGCTTCGACTACTCCCATGATGCCGAAGCCGCGCATATGGCCGCCACCGCCATTTTGAACCTTTCCACTCGCTGTTGGGAAATGCCCGAGAACCTCAGCACCAAGCAACAAGATCTCTCCAGCAAGGTGAAACACGAGGTGGCTCACATCCCAGGGGTTACTACGTTTGAAGGAAGTGGGCTTTTTTTTTTTAAAGCACAACATGCTTAGAGAAAGGGTTCAGTGAGGCTTTTTCATCACTGGCGCTCAAGTGGACCCGTGTCATTTTGCCAGGTGATCAATTAACTGCCAAAGGTTATTGTTATGATTTTGCAACTTGACCTTAGCTAGTAGTTATTCTTGTTAGATGCTGTCAAGTCAGAACCAAATTAGAGCAACCTTAATAGGTTGGGCGTGTCCATTCTTGTTAGATACTGTCCATCTTAGAACCATCTTAGAGCAACCTTAATAGGTTGGGCGTGTCGCACTTGTGGAGGGGGGGTGTCACGCTCATGGGTGGGCATGCCATGCTTGTGGAGGGGTGTGTCATGCTCGCGTGTGCCATGCTCGCACAGAGCCCACACACCCCCAACTAGTCCACGGTCCCAAAAAGGTTGGAGATCACTGCACTAGACCACACTGGATATCACCAGTGGTCATAATGACTGTGAAATTTATCCAGGAGAAAGCTGTCCTTGCAATAACCCTGATCCCGGGCCATTTAGAGTTTTAGAAATCACAGCCAAGGTGGAGACATGCAGCTAGAAGGGAAACTGGTAAGCAGTGGAGTCCCAAATAATGTCTTGATCACTGTAGTATAAACCACTAGTGGTCTCTGTATACAGTATTTTCATAGGGAGATGCACATTTAATGTATTGATAATAATTGTGTGCTTTAGAGTCAATTCCAGCACATAGTAGCCCTTTTCGGGATTTTCTCGGGAGAGGGTACTCAGAAGTAGTTCTCCATTCCCTTCTTCTGGAGGCATCCTAGAACTGTGAAGCTTGCCTAAGGCCACTCAGGCTGGGTCTTCTGGGAGGCAGAGTGGGGAACTGAACTCCCAACCTCTGGTTCTGCAGCCAGATACCTAACTCACTGAGCTGTCCAGGCAGCTCTTTAATGCATTGCAGTAATCTAATCTGAATCTCATCAAAACCTGGGGATATTTCTGTTGATGTCGGTTCATGTATTCATCTACTATGGTTTGGAGTTTCTATAAGAACTGTTTCAGTGGTGTAAATGAGAGTCATCTCATCTACCAGCCCCAGAGGGAAGTGCTGGTGCATGGAATGGATGCTTTCTCTCCATGCTCACCAAAGTGTCAGCATGCTGCCGGTCACAAAAACACCTTCAATAATTGCACGGCATTCACTGACTGTCTGAACTGGCATCAGAACCAACTAAAATTGCATCTCAAGCCATCTCCAGTCACAAAGCAAAGCATGATAGCTCCCAGGTGAGCCACCCCCCAAAAAACCCTGATGTTCAACAAGTAGAAAGAGTGGGTGTTTGGCCATGTGGTTCAAAGGGAGCAGGTAAATGCTGACAAGAGAGTCAAACACGATTGCAGATACGTAGTCAAGGCTGTTCTTTATTGAACGTTTCAGCCCATGGACATTGAGGTGGATGAAAACGGGACCCTAGACTTGAGCATGAACAAGCACCGCAAACGGGAGAGCGCCTTTCCCAGCAGTAGCAGCTGCAGCAGCAGCCCCAGCATCAAATCCCCGGATGTCTCCCAGCGCCAAAACAGCACCAGTGCCACGAGCAGCACCATGACCTCGCCCCAGTCCAGCCACACATCCCGCCAGGATGATTGGGATGGGCCCATCGACTACACCAAACCCAATCGTCAGAGGGAAGAAGAGCCAGAAGAGGTAAATGAGATGGTTGAGAAAGAGAGAGAGAGAGAGAGAGAGATTGATTTACTGTCATGCCTATAAATTGGGGAGCAATGTGGCCAAGTTTTGAGAGGATTCCAACACACCTCATACCATTGTATATCCCCCCATTTTATTTATTTTTATAAAAACTATTTTTTGCCACCAGAGGGCCTAAGGGAGCTTTTTCCAGTAGCACGAACCATTTTTGTAAGGAAAAAAAAATAGGTGGCAATCATGGGAGCAAGTGTAGCTTAATACAATACAATAGAACTGCCATATCCGCAGGATCGGTACCTGTGGTTTCACTTATACACTGCCTGAAAATCAATCAACCAACAAACCAACCAACCAATCAATTAATCAATCAGTCCCAGAAATACACATTCCCAAGGTGCATTCCCAGAACTGTCCACAAAATGGAACCAGATAATGGAAACACATTTGTGGCCTGATGTCTCCAAGGGAAGCAGCTTCCAGTGAAATGGAAAAGCCATAGTTGCAGGGTGAGGACACTCGCTGGTTTCAGGGAATCCTCCTTTGCAACAGGAGGGCAGGAAACCCAGTCTTTTGGTAGAACTGGGCCAGGCATGGCCAGATTTCTACTGAACATTTACACTAGCATAAGTTCAATGTCATGAACTATAGTAGTGAATTGCCACTAGCTGAAGAGTTGCTGCATCTATTCTATGTCTTGTGCCAAATCATGCAGCTGGCAATTGACAAGGAATCCAACTTCATGACTAGCGGCAGTCACCATTGCAATTTTTGCAGCTGGACTTAACCAAGCATTAATAACCAAGAGGATTCCAGCCAGTGCCTCTAACAATGCCTTAAAGTGCCCTTTAAAAGTAGCCTTTGAAAGTAATTTGGCATAGTTTAGGGGTTACTTGTTAGATCCAACTAAATTACTTTTTACCCAAATTAAGTAGCTTGTTACAAGCTACTTTGTTAACTATTTTGTTTGTAACTAGTTACTTTCAAACTTTGATCCTCAGTTCTGAGTTTTACAAATTAATTGGGTAACAAGTATTCATGAAACAGTTACTATTCAACTTCATTTAACACGATGGGTTTTTTTTTTATTTCAGAGAGTATGATTCAAGGTATGTATTAAATGCTAACAACAGGTCAACAAGCAGTGCAGATTTTTCTTTCCTGGAGGTTTTCAGCAGGAGTTTCAGAAGACATATGTCAGAGATGGGTTTGACCCAGAAGGTTTAGTTTAGACAAGAGGTTCCATTAGTGCAGAATAATCCATACATTCAGTTGTCTCAGAACCAACATTTCTAGTGTCCTTCTCCTTTAGAGTCCTCCACATCTCATGGCCAATGATATAGGAGGAAGAGCCAAAGGCTTCAAAATTTAAATTAAAACTCAGATGTTCCATGTGTCCTGTAGCTGTAATTCAAAGGAGCAGAATGCTTGCACGGTCATGCTGGAAGACAACTTTTTTCTTATCCTTCCAGGATATTCCTTTGTACAACTGAAGAGGCAAGTAGCTTATCTGAGAAATGGCCTGCCTCTTCAGCATGCTGAGCAAATAATAGTAATCACGGATGGCTGTTGTGGGTTTTTCAGGCTCTTTGGCCATGTTCTGAAGGTTGTTCTTCATGACGTTTCGCCAGTCTCTGTGGCTGGCATCTTCAGAGGACTGGAGTCGGAACTCTGTCCATGCTCTGTTGCTGTTTGTTGGATAGTCTAGTTGCTGTTTGTTGGATCCCCCCTGTGAAAGCCTTCGAGAACGCAATCACTGTTGTCATCGTCATCGGCTTTTCAAAAGATTGCTTGATTATTTTAGTTTTGGTTATCAGACTCAGTAGAGCACCTGGCCACATGTGGGTAGACACATGTTAGAACAGAAAATTCTCCCACCAAAATAGTTCTTCTGTGTAGCTCTGTCATTTCGAGCATCTTCTGACACATACCCTTTGCTGGTTTTTCGCAGTCGGAGTCCGTGATCCGTTCTTTCGCCTCCTCCGAAGCAGATGATCAGGAAGTACCGGAAGAAAACTTTGAAGAAAGGAAGTATCCCGGGGAAATTACTTTAACCAACTTTAAGCTTAAATTCCTTTCCAAGGAGATCAAGAAAGAGCTACTCACGTGAGTTTTGCTACTCGGGCTATGGAAGCCACGCAATAACGTATCTAGAATGAGACAAGGAGGAAGGAAGAATTTTGCCCTGTGGGCAGAAGGGATGGGTGGCAATGTGTTGTGGGTTTTTTTAAAAAACCAAGTTTATTTATGTTTCATACTGCAAGGGTCTTATTTAATCCAAACACTTCAAAAACCAAAGCTTGAAAGAGAAATCTCATGGTTTGAGTATTCCTGATTCTTACGATGAAGCTTTCACTCTTGAAACATGCATTGTCTCTTGAAACTATGCCATGTTGAAATGTAGGGCAAGGGGACAGTCCGTGAAAGCACCAGAATCTTAGAATTCACTGAAGTGACTATAAAAGCATAATTTTCTCTTACGTATTTCTTTTCATGCTCCACTTACCCTCTTAACACAGTGCTGGTGGGGAATACTTTTTATCAAGCATACTGCTTTGATGCCTTGTTTACAAAATGTGGTATTATCTCAAGAGTGGCGTTTCTGAAATATTCCACATTGATTGAACTAGTCTTCCATGCTGAGCAGCATCGCTGTTCCCTCTAATGCTACGGGGCAGAGGGGTAGGGTTGATAAATAGGAAATAGAAGAGAGTTTTGTGTGCTTTCAATATTCTGTGACTGACAAAGTAGTCCAAGATTTGAAATCCAAACATCGAGAAAACTGCAGAGGGAAAGGGTTAATGTATTTCCAAACTGGGGTGTTCCACTTGAGAATATAAGAAAAATATAGATATGTCTGTATTTTAAGAATTCGTGTTCCTCTACATTCAATCTCGCTGCATGTTGGATACAGAATGAAAATCCTGTATCTCATCATTTAGAGATATATTCAGTGGCCGTAATCTCCAGGCAGTACCAAATATGTAAACTCTTAGACTTGATCTTCCAAAATCTAAAGCCTCCTATTAAGCCTTTCTCAGAGCTTAGATAAGTTACAATTTTGAGTCAGCAGCCATGCTAGTAGTGGGACTCTAGAACTCCAAAATAAGTCCCCCCCCCCCGCCCTGGCTCTGCTAAATTAACTGCTGTGTTTCACCGAAAATAAGTCAGGGTCTTATATCAATTTTTGCTCCAAAAAACGCAGTAGGGCTTATTTTCAGGGGGTATTTTATTTTTTTTCATTTACAACAATCTACATTTATTCAAATAGTGTTATGCCATCTTCTTCTGGCTGATGCACCATGGTGGAGGGCAGGGTTTCACTTAACTGGGGCTTATTTTTGGGGTCGGGCTTATATTACAAGCATCCTGAAAAATCATACTAGGGCTTATTTTCAGGCTAGGTCTCATTTTCGGGGAAACAGGGTAGTTATCCATCTTTTGCCTGGATTCTAGACACAGTTATGCCAAGCCCACTTGTGTCTTCTTCCAGAACCAATTAGTCATTTATTTATTGTGTAAGAGCATTATCATTAAGATCTGTCTGGAAACTCTTTAACGAGAAAACTTCCCGAAATCTCTATATGAATAGTATAATGATTAAAAAAATGCCAAGTGATATGCCCAGTCTAGGGGAAGAAGGCACCGATAATTGCAACCAGATATAAATCTTTCCTCCTAAAACGATTGGGATTTTTCTTTTACCATAAATTGCAAGGAGGCCATCCTTTTGAAAATACTTAAGGAAGGTGACAAATAAAAACAGAGACATTTTAAAAAAAATCATGAACACAACCAGAATCATGCTTTCCTATTCATGAATATATAAGCAGGTCCTGACGTGTGGCATAGTATTTCTTCCAATCATGTTTTACAGACTGTGGGAGCAGATTGGGATTAATTTGGAGTTTTACCACTCTTAAGGGGGATGTTCGGAATCCTTCCTCTACATCAGGCGGGATACCTTGGACCTGGAAATGGCCATTTTAGACCACTTTGTGTGTTGTTGGGTTGTTTTTTTTAAGAAACAAGAAGTGTGCAGAGGGGAGCACATCCTATTTCTTTGGGGGGGGTGCTCAAAGGATTGCTTCATGGCCTCAGATGCCAAGGTCTCCAGGAGCAAAAAGGGGGTCCCGGCCAAGAACAATTCATATGGGGAGACTGTGGTCTCTTTGGGGGCCATCATGTGACATTAATGGTGTCCATGGCCCACAGGGCACGTGTTGGCCACCCTTCCGTACTCCTCACACTGGAGGTCCTGGGCTTGTGCTGACACTAGAGACTCTGAGGCTGAAAGGAAACCCAGAGACATCATCCTCCAGACACCATTTTGCTCGTATGTAAACTTTGAAGAGGATGGCTTTGTTAAGTCAGCTCAAGGTCTTTTTAATGCAAAGCAACATATTGAGGGAAAGCAAAATACCGTATTTTTCCATGTATAAGATGCCCCCATGTATAAGATGCCCCCAAAATTAAGAAAAATAAGTGGGGCTTAGCAAGTGTAGGGGGAAAGGGATCAAAGCGCTGCAGGAACGCTTTGATCCCTGCTTTCCCCTCCACTTGTTTTTGTTCTCTCCTCAGCTTACTTCCGTGTATAAGACGAGCCTCAATATTTAGTTTAGACAAAAGTGTAGTCGTATACATGGAAAAACATGGTACCCCTTATTTCCACTGTGAAACCCACCATGATTTTAAAGAGATCCTCCCCCTCGCCTGGCTGGCTTCTTAATGTGAGCCTTGTGGTGCACCGGTTCAACTGCAGTACTACAGCTAAAACTCTATTCACGATCTGGGTTCATTCCCAAGTAGCCAGCTCAAGGTTCACTCGGCCTTCCAGCCTTCCAAGATCAGTAAAATGAGTACCCAGCTTGCTCAGGAAGGAGCAATGTGGAGCTTTCATAATTAAAGTGTAACCTGCCCAGAGAGTGCTTTAAGTGCTATATAAGCAGCACACTTTGCTTTTTCTTAAGGGGGTTTCTTGGCCTCCCCTATGGCATGCTGGTCCTTCTTGAATGCCACAGAATCGGATGAATAAGGATGCCCATCCCTATGTGGATTCTTCAGAAATTCTGAGTGATTAAACAGAGAGAAGAGAGAAGTTGCCACTGGTCCCTTCCCCTTCTTAGGCCTCCTCACCTTGACCCATCTCTCTCTTCCTGCTGATCCTTTGATGCTGATGATCATGACTTCATAGCTATTCCAGTCCTAGGACTGATGACACGTGATCTGTCCAACTCAAGCCAGCCCCCTTTCTCGTGTTTCAACAGGAATGGCTAGCAATGAGCTCCATCAACTGTTATTGATAGTTCTAGGTTTGAGATGTGGACTGTCAAGGCATCCCCTCCAGTCTGTGTATGTTCTCCAAAATATGTTTGTTCCAAAATGTTTACCTAGTAATGGCAGCTGAAACCAGAAAGTCACTTGACAATCATACCCTAGATGCTATACTCTAAAAGATCCAAAGTGGCTTACGGTATTTAAAAGAAACCAAATTAAAAGCCAAATAATAAACTATTACAATATTTCAAAAAGCATTAAACAAATATCACATTAAAACTCATAGTAGGAACAATATCAAAAAGACAAGTAAAAATACAGGATATAAGGCTCTTTTTAAAAAATCTCCCTTCGTCAACCAGCCGTTTAAAGAAAAGTCTGCCTGAAGAGACAGGTTGCAGAAAGACAGCAGAGATGGAATCAGTCAGGCCTCCAGTGGGAGGGAGTTCCAAAGTCTGGGAGCAGCAACCGAGAAGGCCCTCTCCTATGTCCCCACCAAGTGCACATGTGAGGGTTGTGGGACTGACAGAAAGGCCTTCCCTGATGATCTTAATGTTCATAAAGTGAGGTCTTTTAGATAGGAAAATGGGAGAAACCATTGAGTTGGATCTGTCCAGAATGTGTGGTTTTCTGCTTTCAACAGTTAAATGGTACTCCAAGGACACACATTCATTTGCTTCTAAACCACCACCACCATGTTGAAACCAGAGTGAAATCAAGCAAAATAAGCTAATATACAGATATTTCTGCTTTTAAAGAGGTACTGGTTGATTCACTCAGTACTTACACTGCGCCTTCCCAACATACATGTAATAAAAGAAATGAAAATCTTATGAATAGCAAGCAACATAAAGGTTTCATGTATTGGAACTAATAGAAGTAGCAAACTCTTTATTATGATATAGTATTAAGGTCCTCTGTTGTTGTTTTCTGTTTATATTCTTTTCTTTTGATGTTCCAAGCATGTAAAATGGTCCTTCTGGTGGCTACAAATGGAATACAAACAAGTTCATACATATATTAAACTCAGGCACAAAGAAGGATCCCCCTGCTCAATTCAGATTTTTACATTAGCCGTGTTAAAGATCGTTGGTTTCTTTTCTTAGTAACTTTGGGGGTGACAGAAGCTTACTAACTTTGGCGTTTGTTAGAAAATATGAAATTCCATATTTCATGGCATTTGGAGACAGCAAAGAAAGAAAAACAAGCGCTCAAGAAGAGCAAAAATAGACAGACAGATGAATATCTGAAACGTAACTCAGCCCAATCAAATAGATTAACTTTAACTGCAACAAGAAGCTGGTATTATCTAGAGCTAATAGAGTCTTACTGTTTCATGCCAATATTGTGCAAGGTTAGGGTTAGTATTTTAAAAACAAGCAAGCTTCTAGCCCTTATGGCTACAATGACCTGCAGCAGTAGCTGTCACAGTGATCCACAGTGCGATGCCCACAGCTGTTACCACCAGACAGCACCAAGACAGGCAGGTAAATGTCCCCCTTGACATTTAGTCCAGTTGTGTCTGACTCTAGGGCACAGTGCTCATCCCCATTTCCAAGCCATAGAGCCAGTGTTTTGTCCGAAGACAGTTTCTGTGGTCACGTGGCCAACGCGACTAGACACGGAACGCTGTGACCTTCCCACCAAGGTGGTACCTGCTTATCTACTCACATTTTACATGCTTTTGAACTGCTAGGTTGTCAGGAGCTGGAACAAGTGATGGGAGCTCAATCCGTTGCGTGGATTCGATGTTACGACTGCTGGTCTTCTGACCCTGCAGCACAGAGGCTTCTGCGGTTTAACCTGCAGCGCCACCACGTCCCATGTAAGACAGGCAAGGGGATGTGTATATATGGGAGCCACCATCTTCAAATACCTGGAAGATGGTGGGCTGTAAAAAGTTTACTTGCCCTTCTTACAACCAGACTAGATTTGCTCAGGTCTCACCAGACCTTTTAAACTACTCACCTTATAACTGTTCTCAGCAAAGTACATTCAACTCAAGCTGTTCCCATCCTAAATTTGCCCATGCAAGACTCTCTAGTCAGCCATGAAAATGAAAAGAAGCTTCATATCTAAAGGCACCAGAGAAAACATAAGGGAGTGCTATTCCTCTAAATTAACTGTACTATTTATTGCAATAGCTGGAGTTTAGAAAAGTACTCTTGAGATGTCTTCCAACTCTACAGTTCTATGATTCTAATATCCTGCTTGTAGGCTTCCCATTAACATCTGGCTAGCCACTGCTGCAAATAAAATAATAGCCTAAATCACAAGTTCTAAAACCAGGGTCCTTTGGATCTCCTAAGGGGCTCAAGACAGTACCATGAGCTGGATGCAAAAAAAAAAAAATTCTTTTTCTTCCGTTTCTCACCTGTTACTTTGAAAACTGCAAGCAAAATTTTGCATGGTATGTGTTTATGCACTCATTTTTTGGGAAGGGGTGCACAGCTTTCACTAGATTCTCCGTGGGGGTCCATGGCCAAACAATGTTTAGAACTAGAGATGGGCAGGAACTGAACTGCAAACCGAACACACACAGAGAGACACACAAACACACACACACACACAAACAGGGCTGGTTCATTATTCGATTTGGGTTTGGTTCAAGGATCCCGTTTTGCTGAAATGAAACTAAGCCCCAAACTTTTTTCTTCCCAATGTTTCGTGGAGGCATCAGGTTCCCCTCCCCCATGCATGAACTGGGGGGAAAATGAACCACAAACCAGTTCATTTTGGGGGTGGGGTGGGGTTCAGGGTAGGTTCATGATTTGGAGGTAGCCACCAACCACAAACCACCCTGATTTGTCATTTTTCCCATCTCTATTTAGAACCTCCAACCTGGAAGGAGAAAAGCAAACACATCTTATTGGTGACATCTGGGTCAAAGAGAGGAATGGCAGAAAATATTTATAACTGCTATCCAATCAGTAGCTAAACAGTGCTCCGAACTGGGCAAAGTTTTTGAAAAGTTACTTTTCTGGAAGTTAAGAGTCCAAAAATGAACTTTTCCAAGCTCTAGAATGAGCCTGCCACCTATGACCACCCTAACGCCACCACTATGATCTGTTGTCACAGAACAAGGCAAGCACTGGCATAAGACCTCATCTGCATTGACAGGAACAGGCAGTTCGTGGCACTCTTACACTGAGTGGCATGCTGTTCCCTACACTTAAGATCTTCTCATCATCTTACAGATTTGTTAAATACACATACACACACACGCACACGCACACGCACACACACACACACACACACACTCACACACTCACACACTCACTTGCACACACACACAATGGTTTGGTGGGATGAAGTGAGATTTCCAGGATGTTTCGTGTAAGTTTCCCAGGGAATGGGGGAGGAATCTTAGCCAAACTGCTCAAATGTACATAACAATCAAACAGGGAAAAAGACGAACAGTGTGGTATTTACTATTTATTTTATTTATTTATTAGATTTTTACCCTCGCCCCTCTAGACAATGTCTACTCGGGGTGGCTTACAAATAAAACACAGCAATATATACAATATAAAGTCATAAAAAATTACAGTTATTTACTGTTATTTATAATTACAATTTGAGTGATTGATTACCAACCAAGACATTGCAAGATGGCATACCATAAGAAGAGAGAAAAAGAAAAAGCTAGGGATAGAAATCACTTAATTGACTGGAGGGAAGACCTGTTTAAATAGCCAAGTTTTTAGCTGGCTTTTGAAAACACCCAGCGAGGGTGCCAGCTGAATTTCGGTTGGAAGAGTGTTCCTCAGCCGAGGGGCTACCGCCGAGAAGGCCCGGTTCCTTGTTTTTTCCTTCCGTCCCTGCTGGCTATGACAAGGAAACCTTTCTGAAATGAGCATTTCAGAATTTGGGCGCCACCACTGAGAAAGCCTCTTCCTGGTAACCATCTGCTTACACTCGGAAGTCCACTTACCAGAGATAATAGTGTACTGCTAGATTACTGAAGATAAGACTGTATGGGAAGATAGCATATGGAGACAGGCATTCCTTCAAGAAAGCCATTTAAATCATTGCGAACTGCCTTTGTATATCCCGGAGAGGTTGGAGGTGTGCCTTTAAGATTGAGAGCAAGTATTATTTTTCCTTTTTAAGATGGTGGTTCAGTGGGGAGGGAAGGATATAATAATCTTAGAACTGCAGGAATGGAAGGCACCCAATGGATCATCGAGTCCTGCCCCTCTCAAGGAGGCCCAGTGGGGAATCGAACTGCCAACCTCTGGCTCCGCAGCCAGATACCTAAGCCACCGACCTATCCAGCAGTAGAGCGCCTCTCCTCAAAGCTGGACTATGGCTTCCCAATCATGTTACATATGAGGCCAAAAGAAAGAGAGATAAAAGCATCAAAACATATAATATTGCCAACCAGATGCTGAATTGACCAGTCTCAACAACACGGCCATCATGACAAAGAATTAAAGAATTAGGACTGAGCTTCTGAAGTTCTCTGCAAACCCTTCAGGAATTCCTCCCCCCTCGATGTCTACAGAAGAAGGATTTTCCTCTCCTGATGGTTGTTGTGGGTTTTTCGGGCTCTTTGGCCGTGTCCTGAAGGCTGTTCTTCCTGACGTTTCACCAGTCTCTGTGTCTAACAGCATTCCAACTCCAGCACTCTGAAGATGCCGGCCACAGAGACTGGCGAAACGTCAGGAAGAACCACCTTCAGAACACGGCCAAAGAGCCCGAAAAACCCACAACAACCATCAGATCCCGGCCGTGAAAGCCTTCGAGAATACGATTTTCTTCTCCCTTTTTATATTTTTAAATTTTTTTTAACATATGCATGAATCTTACTGGTTTCTTTGAGGTTTTTTTTTTGCCACTCACATTTTTTTTCCCCATAATTATTTTTGTTCAGTTGCCCTACCCCAGGCTGTGATGGCAGCGGACACATCACGGGGAATTATGCTTCTCATCGCAGGTTAGTCGACCTTACCTACCCTATTCTTTCAGGTTCTGCTCTGACAGTCTCTTAAAAATCTCCCTTTTTTAAAAAAAAAGTTTGGCTACTTTGGTTCTATTCCCTCTTCCCCCTTTCTTTGATCTTCCCTACTTTTTTTTTTTTTTAGCTTACCCAAATATTCCACTCTCTTCTCTTTCAGCCTTTCTGGTTGCCCTCTTGCTGACAAGAGTCTCAGAAACCTCATGGCTGCCCATTCTGCTGACCTCAAGTACGTTTGCGCTGCACTGGAATCTCCCTGGCACCTCTCCTTTTCGGCTCGCACTTCTTTTGGCTTTCGCTTCTTTTCCTTGCATTTTTTTTCCCCTTTAGAAACTGCCGATCAGAAACCTGCCTGTGAGTTACGTGTAACGAAGGCCAAGCAGCCATCGACAAATATTAGAAGGGGAGGGAGCATCACATGTTCCAAAATATTTTGTGGCTGCTTTTTTAAAAAAATGGCTCGGAACAAAACCGTAGAATCATAGAATAATTGAGTTGCAAGGGGCCTGTAACGCTATCGATTCCAACCCTCTCCTCAATGTAGGAATCTAAATCAAAGCAGATCTGACAGAGGGTTGTCCAGTTTTTCCCTTCGAGGCCTCCAGCAATGGAGTGCTCACCACCTCCCGAGGCCTCCAGCAATGGAGCGCTCACCACCTCCTCAAGTAATTGGTTCCATTGCTCTAACAGTTGAGAAGTTTTTTTTCCCTGATATTCAGCCTAAATCTGGCTTCCTGTAACTTGAGCCCATGATTACGTGCCCTTCACTCTGTGATGATCGAGAACCAATCCTGCATTCTTCTGAATTCCAGGCAGGTTTCTGTTGGCCTTTGTGAAGTTACGCTATCCCGTTTCTTCCTCTCACTTCTGTCTTGATGGTCCTCTAGAAATTGCAACATTGCCAGTAGTTTCCCTGGATCACAAAATAGCACCATTTTTTTAAAATTTAGTTGATAATATATGTCCCACTCTGGCATTGTTTTCTCATCCTTTGAACAATACATTAATGACTGCTGAACTTTTCCACCCATATTATACGAAGTTGCCGTCCTGGTGAATCAGTTTCATTACTCATTAATTGCATGCTCACTTTTAGGTGTTTGCAGAACAATGGTTATGGTTATTTGAGAAAGAGAGAGAGAGAGAGAGCAACTCTTTCATTTTCAATCACGGATCTAACTGGCTCCAGCATAACATCAAAAGTCCACTACTAGAGCAGTGGACTAGAGATGGAGGTATTTGTATACGAATATATACAAATCTGGCCCCAGGGTTGGGCTCCTGTTATCTGCACCTGTGGGGGGGATATTTGTATACAAATACCCCCATCTTTATATTGGACTACCTGTACTGTCATTCTAATTTTCCCATTCATATGAATGGCTGGCTCAAATGCTTGTTTTCCAAGGAAGTCAACGGACATGGCTATTTTGGAGACTTATTTTCCCTCTATTATGACCTTGCGCTTGTTTTCCAACTGACATGGCTATTTTTGAGACTTATTTTCCCTCTATTATGACCTTGTATTGGCTGGGGCAGTTTTGATCAGCCTTCATAATATGCACTAGGGTAAATCAGCTGTACAAACATTCTGGTCGAAGTCCACCTCACAATCTACTCTTTTGCCATAAATGAGCTATATAAAATGTTTGCCCCAGTGTACTGAATTTAGACCTGGAGAGGTTGAAGGGGTTACAACCCCTTGGTAAACAAGGCTGTAAATAGTTGGCATGAGTGGAGAATGGATCTAAAAACTGCTCATGTGAATCATCTCAGAGATAAAAGTTAAGGGTCGGAGTTACTAAAAGTACAAGGAAGTATGTGAGCAAGCTGTGCTCAATCTACCGGAGCAATGGGTCCCAACCTTGGATCTCCAGATGTTCCTGTACTGTATTATAAAACTCCCAGAAGCCTTCACCATTAGCTGGGTTGGCCAAGATTTCTGGAAGTTGGTCCAAGAATGTCTGGAGACCCAAGGTTGATAAAAGAATTGTCTCTACAGGATTCTTCCTCCCCCCCCAAAAAAAAAAAAAAAAAAGAGGACTGTACTATCTTATCACTGACCTTTTTTACTTGAATGTAAGTGCCACTCAGTGGACCTTAGTTTCAAGTAATTATATTTGGGAATAAAGCCTTCCAGATGTACTTCTCTTTGCAGGAAAAAAGAACTGTGGATCATTCTAATTTGCCCCTCAGTCACGTTCAGGTATTACAGAGATGAGGGCCCTAATCCCGAATAATCACAAAAATGTACATAATGCCCAGTCTGTTCTGTGCACACAAATACATTGTCTTATTCAAAGGACATGTTAAGGCAAAACTTGCTGTCATCAAGAATGTGCCAAAAATTCAATATGCCTTAATGGCACTATGTTATTCCCAATAGCTGACAATTTTGGAACATTCCGGTGTTGTTGTTTTTCATTTTGCAACAGCAGAATTTCACACATTGCATTCCTCTCACTGCCCTAGAAAGGTAAGTTCTTTTGAGCCTGCTAGACCCTTTTGCCCTCAACAATGTCTAAAGGGGTATTAAACAGAGGGCAAAGGAAAGTGGATCACATGCACATTAGATTTCCTTCATAAAGATGATGATTGTGACATGCCCTGATGCTCTCCATTGCAGCATTAAGTGGTGACTTACATGTGTGAATGTGCCATCCGATCACATAACATGGATAGAACCTTCATATCAACTCTCATCTCCTCACAGTGGTGTCAGTTCCCTCATCCAGTTAGGAGTCATCAAAGGTTCACTCACTACTCAAGTTGTGAGAAATCAAGGAGAGTGATGAGCATTGTTCTCTTCACGCACAGATGGAGAGTAAACAGGTGCCAACTAAATTAAGGTCCCAGGAACTGACAAATATCTTGAGGAGGTATATATTTCTCTAAAGGAGCTGTGAATAGTTTTGTTTGAGGAGATTCAGTGACCATTCTTCAAGCACTGAGGTGCAATGGAAGTCAGAAGGTGGTAAATCCACACAAGCTTTTAGTCTGAAATTTATAGGAGCTATACATAGTGCTAAACCCCAGCTCCAAAATAGGTTCAGCACCTTGGAGACATCTTGTAAAGTTCATGCTAAAACTAGGACCATAGGCATCCGTTTCTATTGCCATGCTTCCTGTAAATGGAATGTGCCCAGTCTGTGTGTGCTAATTATTATTCATCTCCAGTCTCTTTTCAGTCTAAGCTGTGTCCCATCTTTAAGTTTTTGGATAAGATTTTTGCAATAAGCCGTGAAGCTGTAAACATTTTATTTACAAAGAACATGCTCCAAATAACTAACATTGGGGCTGCATTTATTCCATTTTAATATTTTGCAAGCTATTCGACCTTGAAAATAAATTAATAAAACCTACGTAGGATTCCCCCCCCCCTGCCGCCACCACCGCCAATGTATTTTTAGAACCAGGAAAGTGAAACCAGCATCCTTACTTAATTGTTTCTCATTGCAAAGCTGAAATAGAGGAAAGCGTTTGGATAAAATAAGAGCAGACTTGAAACTTAACTGAACTAAATTCAATTTCCTACCTCCTCTTGCAAAATGGGAAACATTTAGCATTTTGTCTTTTGGTCACGCTGAGTTGGTTTCTTCTATCTAGATATGTCATCCTACCCGGAATTAGTTGATAGTGAGGATGTTGCTATGCAGTTGCATTTACCCACAGAGGCAGTGGAATTATTCAGTAGGGGGGAAATAAAGGGAAAAAAATTAGAACTGCAAAATCTTGGATTTCATCAATACATAGAATATATAGACTACACTTAGACCACACTTGCTTATTGAATCACTGGTGAAAATAACAGCACTACTTCCTTAGCTACGTTTTGGCACACCCATAGTCTGTTGACTTATTTTCTCAACACCCAAAAACAGAACACTCAACACATAATATCTATCACAACTCCAGAACTGAAAACACAAGACAAATTATCACACCAAAGGAAATATGGCTGATCCACAATCAGCTCTCTCCAAGTTTATTTTTAGTTAGCACTAGCTGTACACTACTCCAGACTAAACTGGGAAAGTAGCTTCGGGCTGCTCACCTTATGGTGTTTGTTCTTTTGATCTGGTAATCCCTTCCGAACTTACTACTTGCCCTGCTGGGGAAGGTATGTATATACATTTCCCACAGAGGTTGAGGATGTTGGGCAGAGAACTCAGAGGAATGCCATTGGGAAGAAGGTTAACCTCGCCTTTTTCAGCTCTACCACCCTAGTCAAATTTTGGGGGCCTGAAGACTTCAGCAACCCTGATCAAACATCTTCTGCATCTCCGCTGTTTTAGCCCAAGATCTCTTTGTTTCTATGGAAGAATGAACATCTCACCCACACCTTCCTCTTATTCAAATTAGTTGGGGAGCAGCCACAGCTTTACTGGCAGAGGACGCGCTTATTGTGTAAAAGAGCAGAGATTTGTTCCCAAATACTATATCTCCAGTTTTGAAAAAGGATAGGTAGTCAATGATAAGGAAAACGTCTCTCTTGTCCGAGATGCTGGAGAATTGCTGCCTTTCATGGACACTACTGGTCCAAAGGAACCATCAGTTTGGTCTAGGGTTAGGGTAGTTTGCTATGTGGCCACGTGTAGCCCGCAGGCATGGAGGCAGATGCCAGATGTGGTTGGTGAGGCAGAAGACACTGCACAGGTGGAGAAGACTACAGGCAATGACAGACAGAGCCAGTGATTAAAGTGAACATTCATACATTGAAAGACAGATGGAGACAGGTATAGGAATGCAGGAAAGTCCTCACGCATACATACAGCAGAAGTGGAGGAGAAAGACAGGCCCTGATCCTCTACCTCTGATAAGGAGGCAGGCAACAGAAGGGTTCATAATCAGCCTGAGTGGTGTAAGTTTGGAAGGTCTGATGTTTTCATACCAATTACTGAACTGATTTGATAGGATATCCCGTCCAGACATAGTTGATCATGTGAAACCGAACCCCTGCATTCATAGTGACTTGATCTTTCCTATCCGGCCACAAATCATAAGCGACAGTGCACTAGTTATTCTATATCAAGATTTGTATCGATGCAGCTACTGAGCGGGCAGTTGCCACCATATGCATCCTTGAAGACAGTATGAAATGAAGAAAGACAGCAGAGGTTTACAAACAGATACTCACATACAATGTGTCTCTCATGAGAAACATTATGGATATCTGTGATGTTCAAAGGTGACTCCATGTCCTAAGTATTAGAGTACTATGTGTCAGCAATATTTGCATTTTTATATGAGCTGCACTGGAGAAGCATGGGGAAACAGATGGACTTAATTATGTTATTGCTAACAAAAGAGATTTGGAAATACCACTGATTGCGAATTTTGGTTCCTCAAAACAACTTTTGGACAGAACATCACTGAGGCTCTGTCCCTTGCAGTTCAGCATCCCTAAAGATGAGAGAGGAAGAGGGAGGCCCTCCAAATGTCAAGTACCATTGGGAGTTTTTTGAAGATAGTCTTGTTATAGAAGCCCATATTTTGCAGAACTGAGTGTAGGCTACTTTTAGTTACATTCTTATGAGAATTCACTGGAGTTGGTGGTGGCGAAATCATTTGAGGTTTCATCCCAGCACGATGTTCAGTCCTCATTGTCACCATCATCCCCATCTCCATCTTGTAGCTCAACCCTCATGAAGTGAATAGAAATGTGCATCCACTTCTGTTTCTGTGGTTCGCTTCTTCGTTCGTTCATTTACTGTAGCCGTATCACGTCTTGAACATTTTCAAATGACAAATTACGGTGACATGATTCCAAGGAGGAAAGACCGCTCTCTGAAATAAACAATGGCAGAACCATTGACTGTGAAATCGTAGGTGCTTTGGCCCCACATTGGTTGCAGAATTCAAAGATGTAGCTCTGCTGGTTAAATTTGTTTCTGCCTAGAAGTGGATGACTCGAATGGTAAAATCAATTTCCAGCTTTGATCGTTACTACTCTTCTGTCTCTTGTTGTTACTCAGGTGCCCAACTCCCGGCTGTGATGGCTCCGGTCACATAACAGGAAATTATGCATCACATAGGAGGTATGTTGGAGATGTACTGGGAGAAGAAATACGAGAGGAAGCCAGGGATTAAGGGTTCGATCAAACGGTGATATAGAATCACACTAGATCAAACTCGAAAGATCACTTCACTGGAGGTGATCTTTTTTATAAAGTGGTCTTTGCCTACACATGTGGTCTGATTGCTCCAGCCCAGCCCCCCCCAAAAAAACAGTAGTCCTTCTGCTGGTCCAGACTGGGCACAGAGCAGGATGATGCTGGTTTATGATTTCCTTTGTATACATTGTGTTTGTTGTTGTTATGCGCCTTCATATCAGAACCTACTTATAGTGACCCTAAAAGGGAGTTCAAAGGAAGTGCTATATTTTAAGGTTCTAGTCCATCACCCTATCCACTACAGCAGGGTGTTCAAAGGAAGTGATATACTGTATTTTGAGGTTCTAGTCCATCACCCTATCCACTACACCACTCTGGATATCATGTAAGTTGTGCAGTCACCGGAAGATAACTCGAACTGGGCCATACCATAAGTGGTCCAAACCACAAGCTATGTTGCCATCAGATCACATCCTTAGATAGCTGGGAGTGCTCTTGGAGAAGGCAAAATTGGGTGGCAAATGTCTGCAAAGGCTTTGAAGGGGGCAGTGAAGAGTGGGAGGGGAAAGGAGAATGAGAAGAACTGATACAGCTGGGGCATTTTGAAAGCAGAAGTGAAGTAAGAGGTAGATGATCATTGAGGAGAAGAGTTGACTCTACCAATGTGTACCCCAAAAATGCCCAGATTGTTGGTATAAGGTGGAAACTTTTCAAATGCTTTGAGGCAAATATGTTTATAATACCAAGAAGGAAGAATCCTAGATTACGCATAAGAACAAAGGGCCTCTGTTAAGATATAAGGCTTATTCTAGTGTGATCTACTATGCTGAGCAACAGGAGTTTGGCCAGGACCTTGCAAGAAATGTTTCTGGAATGCTCATATCCTGCTAAGTTGTCCTCATTTTCTGATGACATGCTATTTCTATCGATATGTCTGCGCTGATGTGTAGATGGTGGAAGAAGGTGCATAAGTAGTTAGTGGACAAGTAAGAAGCATAGGATGCTCATGTTGTGGGCCTTTCAAATATTGGTCAATGACTTGTTCCCAAAAACAGAGAACATGGGTCATCCCAAAGAAGAAATTTCCCTAAAGCTTGTAGGTATGGAGTCACATGTATAGATGGGAAGATCATCTTCCTTATACATAAAATGGTGTTCCTGGCTGAAGCAGTGGGAGGAATTTGCCAGGCTCTGTGTTTGACTCAAGTGAAAAGGCCTGTCTGGCTAGTATAAGACAGTGCAGTACAATATTATATTTGCACATATCCACACTTAACTGCCTCACACCCTTGGCGTAGGATAGGCTATGTTCTAAAATGGATACACACAAACAGAGCTGTACATTTCTGTGAAAAATCATTTCATTCCAATTCCACAGACCTTTCTGTTTGCTCGTGGTCCAAACGGACAAACTGTAATCTGTCCGTGGAAGTTAGCAACAAATAAGCCTCCCTTTCATCTCTTTAATCTGATTTTCCAAAAACATTTCCCAGAATCTGATTAGAAGTTCTTTCTTCAGCAGAACAAAAGACAAAAGGGTCAGATTTTAGCTGACATGAAATTCTTGTTAATAGCACTGCCTATTTATGACTTCTATTATCTTTTTTTTTTCAAACATTAATGGGAACCTCACCGTCTCCCGTTTGAACAGTTCCATTAACATCTGCTGTCGGCTGGCAAAAAAAAATGTTCTTATCTCGACACTATTAACTGCAAAGTATCTCTCCTTCAAAGTGAACAGCTTTTTTCTTATTCTTCTTAATTTTCACCACCACTTTTTCCCCTTACAAGGTGTGGAAACTGAATAATCCAGATCAAAGCACAGGCAGAAGAAATCAAAGGGGGAAATTTGTTCCTTTTTGCTGGAATCTGCCATTGAACGGATGTTCAGTTGGAGGCAGGGATTTTACAAACAGATGGTGATGCGTGCTGATGAAACGTGTTAAGGTTCGATCATTAGTTCAGCCATAGGCTCCCTAGGCAGCCATCAACAGAGCGCTGTCCAGTCTGTGCATGAAGATAAGAAAAATCCCAAAGCTACCTGGGCTTTATAGGAGTGTCGTCCTTATACGTCTGCAGACTTGCCTTTTGGAACTACAATGCCCAGAATTCCCCAGGCAGCATAGTGGTACAAGAATGCAAAAATGTACACTTCTAAGAATTCATCTATTTTGTCTGATTGCCTTCATATGCAGCAGTTGGCTCATTCACAATGTTTTCCCCATGTGACTCTAGTTTTGAGAGCTACCAATCCTCTCCAGGGTTTGGTCCATATTACTTTGTGAGAGCTGTCCATGGTCCTGAACCCTGGTTCCCAATAGATCTAGCATCCTGGAAACCTCTTGTAAAGTACAAACTTCTATCTAAAGCGGATTCAAGTCTGCCCACCACCACAGTCCAAAGCCAGAGTCACCAACCAGAACTGTAATGGACTCAGCTTTCCAACCTCAGTCCTTCCATCTACACCTCTGGAGTAATAATACCAGTCTAACTCAGACAGTTACAGCTGCTACTGAGATAACCAGGCATGAAGCACTCTGAAACCTCAAGAAAAAGCCCAGGTAAAAACACCAGTTATCCTTCAGGATTTATGAGCTGGTTGGATAGCTCATTGATTTTTTTTTCCTGGCTGAGGCAGAGGTTGTGAGTTCGATTCCACCCTGTGCATTCCAGAAGAGCCAGCTTGTGGGGCCTTGGGCAAGCTGTACAATTCCAGGGTGCCCCCAGAAGATGGGGGTGGTAAACCACTTCTGAGTACTCTCTGCCTGGAAAACCATGGAAAAGGTTACCATAAGTCAGAACTGACTTCATAACACATATTTGTGGGGTACCAAGTGGTAGTGTAAAGAGAGTGATAGACTAGGACTCAGAAGACTAGGGTTCAAATCCGCATCTGGTCATGCAGAATCACTAGGACAGTGGTGCTAGTAAAACCACTCCTTTAATATCTCTCATATCTTGAAAGCCCTATTAGGGTCATTAGAGGCTGATTACTACCTGACCGCACGTAACTTACTGGCAAACATCAGTTATCTTGCTGGATTTACCTTGAGCAGAATGTCTATCATACAGGTGACAGGTTTTGAGATTCTTGACACATCCGTCATATGCCTGGTTGTGCAGTCTCCAGACACACAACATAGACCCTAGCAAATGGCAAAAACCACATCGGTGGTTACCATTCTGTGCACAGTAAATGAGCTTATTGTTCTTATACTGAAGACAGTCTGAAGAAAGCTGTGCAGGTGGGCAGAAGGCAACACAAAAAAGCATAACACAAACTTCTTGACCATCATGGTTTTTCCATGGCCTTCCAGTTGGCTTCACATACAACTCCAACACAGGCAGGTCATTCCAGGGAGGTGTAAGGCATGAGCTTTGCATTTCCAACACCTGGGATAAAGGGAAAGTGTAAGAATTCATGCCGATAGAGGTGAGCAGATCAAAAACACTGGGCGGTGGAAGAAAGTGGAAGGATTCAATAAGGGAAGTTTGATTCTTGTCTCAGAGACACAATAGAGATAAGCAGGAAAGAGGACGGCTTAGATGGAAAGATTATGTGCCTTTTCTTTAATATGAACAGCACAAGACTTTGGTGCATTCTGCGACAGCCTATCTACACTGGTTGTTTAGACTCACACTCGGCTCTGTTGTTACAGGCCTGAAAAGAGAGGAAATAAGTGAATAAATGAGCTCGTTCACAAGTATTTTCCCTTCTTTTGCTGCTCCCTTCCATTCCACAACTTTTCTCTTGTCTTACGTGTTTTATCTAATTCGGACTGTATGCATTTCAGATATTAACGCTGATGTCTTCTCTTACCCTGTGTCCTTAAGACAAGGCAAGCTGTCAATGAAAATCAAAAGGGGGAAGGGAAGGCAACTGGGGGCCAAATCAGATCAACAGGTTTGCAACTAGAAGCAGAGCTGGTTTCAGCAGGAGATCATGTGTGATTATCCTCTAGCGGCTTTCACAGCTTGTGAGGCTACAATTCAGTTGCTTTTGCTTGGTAATTAGTCATTGGTGGGAAATAAGCAGCTCCATTTGCATGCTGATTTTGCACACATAGCTTGGAAGATGCACCTCGGAAGGGATGAAAGTGTTATAACCTCCAACTGTGAAAGTGCCCATTTGGTTTAGTCTGCTTTGGCCTTGACGTTTAGTAGAAAGATGCGTGCTGTCAGGCTGCTAAGTATGATATTTCTTCTTCTTCTTCATCTTCTTCTTTTAAATATAGTCTATCAGGCTGTCCTCGTGCCAAGAAAAGTGGGATCAAGATCACCCCCACAAAGGATGACAAAGAGGACCCAGAACTGATGAAGTAAGTGAATGAAAAATTTCTGAGTGGGCCTTCTAACCAATGTGATATATCCATTTCTTTCTGCCACACAATAAGTAGGCAGAAAGAAACAGCTCAATCCATTTCATATACATACATCATTCTCTTTTAACATACACAGACTGGACTATGTACATGTTCAGGGAAAAGCCTTGCTAAGACCAGATATTTATTACATGAACTCCCTATCAAAAGCAGACAATTTCACACAGCGAGAGAAGTGAATTTGATTAATCAAGAAGAGGGATCCACGTTTTTCTCACTTAATCAGTAATTCTTTGATTAAAAGCCAGCCAGTGATCTGATTGACCTTGATTGACTGGACAGCATTCATGGATCCTTTTACCATGGATATGTTATGATTAGCAGCAACAGGTCTAGAAATCTGTTTTTATTTTTCCATGGAGGCCCAGGAGTGGAAATGCTGGCCTTTGGACCCCAAACTATACAGGATAGATAACCTACCATAAGAAGCTAAAACCTGTTGACCTTAAAGGTATGTTTGCTGTCATTAGGGTGACCAGATGGAAAACAGGACAGGGATCCTGGACCTCTAATAATTGTATGGAGGAAGAAATTTCAGCAGATGCAGCTTGTATTAAAACCTGCAGCTGTTGACATTTCCTCCTCTGCACAACTCTTAAAGGCCCAGGAACCTTGTCCTCTCTCTCATCTGGTCTGCAACAGACTAGTATGGAGATCTCCTTGTAAAAATTCTGTACTAGAGATGTAATTCAGGCAAACCTTCATGGCTTTGCAATCATACTTGCAAATTGAGCACATGCTTAGTTCCTGATCCCCAACCATGAAGCAAGAAAGCAAATGTACAAGCAAGAGAGGGATCTTCTGCATCTTCTGTTACAGTCTAAAGTTTTAAGCAATTGAGGGATTCCCTGTTTTAATGAAGCCTGTCTGTAGCATTGAGCTCTCGGATACTATAGTCAACTGTTTTTGCAAGGCTGCCACAAATCAGGTTCCAAGTAGAGATGGGCATGAAACACGAACCACTACATGCCCCCACCACCTCGTAAGCTAGCTTGTTGAGCTCATTAGAAGGAGCTTTTCTCAGCAGCAGCCATTCTGTTGTAGAACTCCCTTCCAAGTGAACTTAGACTGACTCTATCTTTGTTGAACTTCGGACAGTCAGCTAAAAGTTTACCATTCTGAACGGCCTTTGCTCATTTTAAACTGACTTCCAAATTGTTTTGTTTCATTTATGTCACCCCATGAGCGAAATGGTAATGAACAAATATAATCAATCCATCCATATCAACTTCCCAGGTCTAAAACCTGCACTACGACTAAGGTCACTCCCATGTCTAGCTGTGGTTTAGCCCAGTGGCTCCCAACCTTGGGCCCCCAGATGTTCTTGGACTACAACTCCCAGAAATCCTGGTATGCACAGCTAGTGGTGAAGGCCTCTGGGAGTATGGGTCTAAGAATGCCTGGGGACCGAAGTGATTTGTGGTTCATTGGGAACCACTGCTTTAGCCTCTCCTTTATCAAACACAAGTGTGTATCAGTGCATTAGTGGCGAGGCAGTTGAAAAATTAGGTCTTCACTTTTCACATCATAACCATGCCTTTCTCCACTTATGCAGAATATTGCAGCAAGTTGACCTTCCATGCCCTAGGCTTAGGGAGTGGGTGGCGTTTAGAACTACTAGAGGAGAATAAACCCCAGGAGATCTGACAATATTGGATTGATTAGCTCTCCTTTTCATACAAGTTCTTCATGCTCCGATGCTTGGTGCACCTTGTTTTCTGCACTGCTCCACCACCTTCCTGTGTTGCATTAGGAGCAGAGAAAACAGCATGACGGGAGTCCTGAAATTCTATACACTTCAGTTTCTGCTGGAATAGTGAATGCTGTGAGGGATCCAGAGGTCTTTGTGAGAACCAGATGATGTTTCGGAGCCATCTGTTCTGCCTCCCATCCCCAGAAAAGGAGATCATTTGCACTAAATGAGCCATGTCACAATTAGCAGGAGTAAGCAAAGTTTATTAAAAAGAGAAGAAGAAGAGGAATTCAGCAACCCCGCTTTTTAAAAATTACGGGAAGACATGGGGGAGCCAAGGAGGAAACTTCACTTTGGACTTCAATTGCTCAGGGTGGTGGAAGCGTGCCTGATCCGTAAAGTCATTTTACTGTGTCTGGGGGCCCTGTGAGAGAAATAACAATGGAAACGGATCGCACTGCCAAGGAGAAGTGCTGTGTTCTGCAGTTTATAGCCCATTAGTGCAACCGGCAACGTTGTGTTATCTCCTCCCAGTGCAATGACTCTGTGTTTGGTTTCAGAAGAGTTACGGTAGAATCAATGCTGCCTGTAAATGTGTCTACATGCTATTTAGGCTCAGCAGGATGCGATTTAAAGAAAATGACTGCCCCTCAGGTAGGCTTAAACAGAATCCGGTGGGCCAAGGATGGCCAAAGTAAGGCCACGGGGTGCCTGGATCCACGATGGATCCAGGAGAGGATCTTGTGGGTTGCGGAAAACCCCCATCCCATAAGGCTCTGGAAGAACTCTTTGTGGTACTCATTCATTATGACATAATCTAGAGATGGGCACCAACTGGAAAATCGATGATTTGTGATTGTGGTTCATGGCTACCCAGGAAACACAAACCACCCCAAACCCCCAGAAAAACGAACTGGTTCACAGTTTGTTTTTCCAGTTTGTGCCTTGGGGAGATAAACTTACCTCCTCTGCCCCCTCTGAAGCTCACCCACCCCATCTCCACTGGCCCCACTGCTTCCCTACCTGGCCCTACAACCACCTCCTCCTCCTCTACAGCCGCCACCACCATCTTCTGGGATGGCAAATCGGCTTCTCTTCCAGTAGCCGAGCCCACTGTCTCTACGCATGTGCTCGCCTGTCAGCTGGAAAGGAAGCAGGGCTGCTCTCTCTAGAAATGGTGGTGGTGGAGGACAAGGAGGAAGAGGAGGCAGCACCAGGTAGAGAGGCAATGAGGACAGCGGGAAGGGGGCAGCCAGGCATCCGCTTTGCCAAAGCAACATGATGCGCCAAGCAGAAAAAAGTTTGGTGCTTCATTTTGTTCCAGCAAAAGAAGTTGCACAAACCGAACCATGAACTAGTTTGCTCCATTTTTTTTCCAATTTGTAGTTTGGTTCATGCCCACCTCTAGTATACATTTTCTTTCACTGCTGCTGGGGAGGAACTAGAGTTGAACATTGTGGGAAACAGGTAGAACGTAACAGAATTTGGTAGGATCTGGTGCTTCATGAATGGATCCTACTGGAATATGGAATTTACCGGCTTTTTGGTCTCTCAAACCTGTCACCGGACAAGCCACATTTTTTAACTTACGTTGTACGGCTAACATTTTAGTTGGCTAGCGAGACTACGTACACATCACCTGCTTCTCACCGGGACATTTTCTGAACAATATGGAAGGATCTGGCCCAAAACTATATACACTAATTCAAAGGGAAGCTGCCATTATAGAAGACTGATGGGAAAGAGGGAAATCTCTGTAAAAGAAGCAAAATGAAAATGCTAGAGAGAGCAGAATTCCAGCAGAGCCCTTCTTTCAAATGTGTGTGTTCGTGGATGTCATGGGTCTGCTCTAGTGGTAGCCGTCAGTTGAATTCAGGACTGTTTTCATCTTCTTAAATTGTTCAGAAAACAGGGTGTTTTTTTTTTAAGGATAGGATAATGCACAAATAGAATAGAAAGTTGGGCACAAACTGCCCATTTGGGAGTTTGTGCCAGTTCTTTCAATGGCCAAATAGGTTTCAGTGCTTCGCAATCCCACCTTCTCTGGGGGGCACCCACTTGGAAACAACGTCCCAATTTCCTTGCCCCGCCTCCTGCAGGTGCTGCCTCCAAGTGCCTCTGCCCACCCGAGCAGGTGAAGCTTCAAAGCATCAAATACTTATTCGTCCACTCAATGGGCCTGCACGAACCACCACAGTTTGTCCTCCCTTCTAGTAGAAAGCATGCTTCTCGTCCTCCAAACCTGCTCCTCACGCAGGCAGTACGCCTGGAAGGAATAAGTGGCGCAGGAGAATCGACAGACAAGCTTTGCCCTCCCTTGTCGAACTTGTGGAGTCCTTGGGAAAGTTGCATTTTGTCTTCTCTAACAAGGTACCCTCTCGTGAAGGTCCCGGCAGGTTTGCGCTAAAGAAGCTCCACAGTAATTCTGCTGCTCCATCTGTGTGGCGAAAAGCAGCTTGGCGGCAGTCCGAGATTTGCATTCCGCCAGCGGAAAGAAACTAATATGGTCCCTGGTGTATTGTTGCTTTTTTCCTCACACCATTTACCCTGCGCCTTTACATGGAAAGGGCATGCTTTCTCCCCTCACCGTGCAGGATCGCTCAGGAAATAAATTGCAACTCTCTTCTACACACCCTTTCAACCTTCTGCCTTCCTTCTTTCAAAAAAAAAAAAAAAAATCAGGAGGGTAATTCAGGAGGGCAACTCTTCAATTGACCAGCCATTGCCACCACTTCAATTAAACAGTGGTAATAAATTTTAAAGGCACACACACATACACCCCACATCCCAAGCCAGCTGTTTGCCACAATAAGGCTCTGGTTTATTTTTTACAATAAAAGTGTAATGAAAGTTAAATTAACAGTGTAAAATATGTAACGGCCAGGCCATAAACGGCGCATACTAATATTCACCTTCCCCCCCTTTCCCCTTCTCCCCAGCCTCTCTCTCTCCTTTTCCTCCTGAGGTTTCCATAATTTGCTTGCGATCATATAAACAGTGACGCCATTATGAATTTAGTGAGCATCCTGCTGGCAGCGATATAATAAGTGAATTGTGCCACATTTGCAGGCGATTAAAAACAGGATCAGCATTTTTCAAATTATCTCAGAGGGGGGAATGAAATAACAGCGGTGCAGCCCTTGACTGTCAACCCCTCTGTTGTTATTGGCGTTGTTGTTTAATGGAATAAAATAAAAATGATGATGATGACAATGAAACGCAGAATGTGAATTTCGAGCACAGCCAGGCATTTATTTTGACAGTTGTCTTTGATGTGCCTAATTGCTGCATTACATAAAGGGGCGGGTCCTTTTCTTTAACGCTCTGAGCGGTAACAAACCAATATACGTGTTTAGAACTGACATGTGTATCTAAACAAATGCAAATGACTGTAGAAACATTCATCGCAAAGGGCACCACAAGAGCATGGTTACCAATTCCTGATTTTAGAAGAAATGGGGTGAAATATAGGGACAAATCTAGGACATGTTTGGGCCATGGAGAGAGAATTTGAGAATTGCTCCAGACAAAAAGAGTGTGGGGCAATCTGGGTGGGTCAGCGCATTATGGAGTGTTGGTAGGCCAGGGTGAAAGTCAAGGAGAATCTGCAGGGCCCAAGAGAGGGCCCAGAGAAACATCTAAAGACCTAGATATAGGGCATTCTTGGACTGCAACTCCCAAAAGCCCTTGCCAGCACAACTAGTGGTGAAGGCTTCTGGGAATTGCAGTCCAAGAATGTCTGGCGAACCAAGGAACCACTGAAATCAAGCAATGATGGGAATTGAGAACCTGAGCAGCAATTTCTGCACTCAGTGTAAGATCGGAAGAGATTCCAGCACACACAAGAGCTGTGTGCACAGAGACTGTCCACGTGTGGGATGGGACTTTGTTTTTATGGGGTTTCCTGGAAGAACTTTTATGCACATCATTGGATAGAAGTCAGGGAGAGACATGGTCTGCAGCCTTACATACACTCTGCACATTCAGAGTTACACAAATAAACACATGCTTGTTCCGTCGCCTCGGTTCTGAACGCTTGGATCTGCTCTGTTCGTCATTAAGAAACACATTTGAGAACCTTCTCATTAGATCAGGGTAGTGGGTTTCATTTTGGGACCTGTCAGGGCCATTTCCAGAGCTGGCATTATCTGGCGCTATTTGATTTCACTCTTGTGTGCTTATTTATATTACAATAAAAAGCAAAGAAAGACAGCTTCCTTTTTTTCAGTGAACTTGAAAGCTAATGCTAAAAAATATATTTTTTTCTGAAAGATTAGCAGAAAGGTAGAGGAAACAGGTCACCAAGGAGGTCACGGAATGGAAGCAAAAGAGGATGATGAGACCACATTCCAGAATGGTCACAAGTCTGTTTCCCATCCATCTGTAGCCTCTGATCTCACCACGTTTGTGCAAATCACCTGTGAGTTTTGATTCCCAGTTCCCACACTCATGTCTCCCTACCTTTCTCTAGGTGCCCAGTTCCAGGTTGTGTTGGGCTTGGACACATCAGTGGCAAATACGCCTCCCATCGTAGTGCCTCGGGGTGCCCCCTCGCTGCCCGGAGGCAGAAAGAAGGGTCCCTTAATGGCTCGTCCTTTTCATGGAAGTCGCTCAAGAATGAAGGCCCTACCTGTCCAACGCCAGGTTGTGACGGCTCAGGTCATGCAAATGGAAGCTTCCTCACTCATCGAAGGTAAGGATGGTATCTTTGTATTCGAGAAGGCTTTCACAGCCGGGGTCTAATGGTTGTTGTGGGTTTTTCGGGCTCTTTAGCCATGTTCTAAAGGTTGTTTTTCCTAACATTTTGCCAGTCTCTGTGGCCGGCAGCTTCAGAGGACAGGAGTAGCACTCTGTGCTCTGGTGCAGTTTGTTTGGCAGTTGAGTATTTATAGCTGTGGGATCAGCTTTTGTCCTGGTCAGGAGATGGGTGATTATGGTGATCAGTGTGTTTTTGTTATGGGTGTATTGTTGTGATAAGGAGGAGAGATTATCTGTCACTGTGAGAGATGGGTGTCGTTAGCTGGTCTTTTGTGTGATCACCAGTCCTTGTGGCTGGGTAGAGTTCCTTGACCTTTTGCAGTCATCGAACTCTGCCTACCCTTTTAATGTAATCTTTGCTTATTACATTCTTGCACAGGAGGATGAGAGATTTCCAAAGTTCTCCCCTCCGAGGGTCTTCCAGAAGAAGAGGACAGTAAACCACTTCTGAGTATTGTCTACCTGGAAAAACCTGAAAAGGGTCTCCATAACTCGAAATTGACTTGACGGCACATAATTATTATCCTTTACACACTAATTCTTCATCATCATGGTTATTATGTCCTGTTTCATTATTTCAGTTTATGGCAACCCTTCCCAGAATATTCTAGCTATTAAGTTTTTGGAAGTAGTTTATCAGTCCCTTCTTCTGGTGATGATTTTGGACTGTGCAGCTTGCTCAGGGCCACAGAGACAGCAGGGAACTTAACTTCATCAGCTACATACGCTCCGGGTGACCCCAGCTGTCCCCTCTCTGGGAGGCACAGAGAGGATTTCAACTTCCTGTTCTTGATTCCATGGCCAAGTGCCCCAATGGCTAAGTGCCCCAACCCACTGAGCTACAGATTACTTACACTCCTTAAATACTCACTGCCCCTGCTTGTCCAAGCTCCTCCTGTCACAGGCAAAGCCTTAGGTTCATTTGCTGATCTCAAACCTGGACAAACCTTGGAAAATTTACTATTTTGGCCATGCTGGCTTAAAAATTCTGTGAGCTGCAGTCCAGAAAGGGCTATTTTTCCAAGTTCTAAACCTGGATAACGTAACACGGCAGTGACTGTATTTACAGTTTCTACCTATGTTTCTCTCTTTAAATTGATTGCGGAAGGATGTAGCTGAATAATAATAATAATAATATGTTACTTGCTGGTACAGCAGATTTCAGCATTAGAATCGCTTCAGGTCGATGAGGCATAAAATATGCACTTTGATTAAAATCTTCATTTTATACCTGAATCTTTTATGGGGCAAGCTGCAAGGGAAGGTCTTTCATATATACCTGTCATTTCTGGTTTTTTGAACTATTTCGACAACAAGCTTGTCCAAACGACAATGAATTCCCAGCGCATGGATAAAAACAATACTGCTTACCGAGCCAGCCAAAAACACTGCCCCTGGGAAATGGATTTACAAGGAACATAAAACAGATGCCTTTTTTTTCATAATTTGCTTTCCCATGAACATGAAGGAAAAAATAATAACAATAACAACAACAACACCAATCAACAGAAATTGGATAAACAGTTATTTCTTCGCCTAGTGAAGAAAACACATTTTTCAACTTTTGGAAACTTATTGAAAGCATAAATTGCAAAACATGGGGAATCTTTAACCCAAGCATTGTTTACCTTACACTCTCTATTTTCCAAACTTGTAAGTTTCTGGTTTTGACTCAGAGGTTTCAGCAAAGTCTCTATTTTCCAAACTTGTTTCTGGTTTTGACTCAGAGGTTTCAGCAGAGCAGAGCTTTTTCTAGAAAAGCCTGAATACAATAGTTTGTATCTGACACCATTGTTTAGGTAAAGGTAAAAGTTCCCCTTGACATTTAGTCCAGTCATGTCCGACTCTAGGGCACGGTGCTCATCCCCATTTCCAAGCTGTAGAGCCAGTGTTTTGTCCATAGACAGTTTCCATGGTTACGTGGCCAGTGCGACTTAGACATGGAATGCCGTTACCTTCCCACCGAGGTGGTACCTATTTATGAACTTGCATTTTTACATGCTTTCAAACGGCTAGGTTGGCAGGAGCTGGGACAAGCAACAGGAGCTCCCTCCATCGCGTGGATTTGAACTGCTGATCTTTTGATCTTGCAGCCCAGAGGCTTTGCAGTTTAACCCGCAGTGTCTGCTAATTAGTGGACAAAGTGACAGACTAGGACTTGGGAGGCCTGGGTTCAAATCCCTGCTCAGCCACGGAAACTCACTGGGGGTGTAGAACGGTTAAAAACACTTCTTTAAATATCTCACTTACCTTGAAAGTCCTATTAGGGTCCCAGGAAGTCAGTTCTGACTTGACAGCACAGAACCGGAAGTCAGTTCTGACTTTGACAGCACAGAACAAACACATAATTCTCTCTTGCTTTTGTCTCACTGCTGTGACTTCTTAGGAACATAGAAAGCTTCTTCATTCAAAGATCAGAACATTTGTCCCTCTAGCTCAGGTTGTCTGCAATGACTGTCAGTATCTCTCTAGGGCCCTGGACAGTCTTTTCCAGTCCTCTATCATACCCTTAATTAAGTACATAGGCTGTCCTGCCCAGTCTGGAATCATGTAATTTATATCACAGAGCTGCATCTGATTAAGCATTGCCAGAAGTCAAGAATCAAGACTCTATGTATTCACAAAGGCTTTCACGGCCAGGATCTAATGATTGTTGTGGGTTTTTCAGGCTCCTTGGCCATTACAAGTGCTAGGCAAACACAAGCCTGCTTTAGAAGAACATGCTCTCCCGCCCTTCCTCTTTCACAGCCGCCACCTGCCCTGTTTCTCTCTTAGAGCTCAGAATTAATTAGATACAAGTAATTTCATTAACTGGAACTAGTTGCTTTTTGGTACTGAGGGGGAACCTTTAAAAGTGAAGCAAAACTTTTTAGTTGTTGTGGGTTTTTCAGGCTCTTTGGCTATCTCAAGCCAACTACACCAGAGCACAGAGTGCTGTCCTCTGAAGATGCCGGCCACAGAGACTGGCGAAACGTTAGGAAGAACAACCTTCAGAACACGGCCAAAGAGCCCGAAAAACCCATAACAACCAATCAAGACTCTTCTGGGCCAACACAATATATGGGATCTGTTCACTGATGGCAAATGAGGACAAGGAGGAAGTGGGGCAAGTCAGGTCCATACTCATGTATATGTTGACATTTCTACAAAGATTGTTGAATGCCATTATTCAAAGGAGGGTGGAGTGTTTTTTGTTGTTGTTGCTAAAAATTGGGTATGCTATTTCTGTTCTGTTTCAAGGGTGGTTGGATGAATTCTGGAAGTTCTAATAGAATGCCCTTCTATTTGTCATTTAGCTTGTCAGGGTGTCCCAGAGCAACGTTTGCTGGCAAAAAGGGGAAAATCTCAGGGGATGAAATTCTCAACACTAAATTCAAGACCAGTGATGGTAAGAAAATCAGGTTTTTCACTTGCCTAGATTTTGCAATCTTGGTGTAAAAAGGTAAGAGTGTAAACATCCTGACTTGGATCCAGGAATAATGTTCCATTAAGAGAAGAGGTCCATTTGTAAAAACCCTCTCCACCAGATTTTGTTGCACCCTCCCTTCCCACAGCCGCATGGAGCTTTCCCCATTCCTTGGGCTGCCCTGAACTAGGTGGGGGCAGGATTTGTGGGACTGAAGGAAGTACTCTGGCGAGGAAGTCTTCATCCACTGATCCCAGCTCAACATACAGTGGTGCCTCGCAAGACGATTGCTTCGCATGATGATGAATTCGCTTTACGATGAGGTTTTTGGAGCGATCTTGCGCTTCGTTTAACGATGTTTCCTATGGGCAATTTTCGCTTTACGATGTTAGGGACCTTGCCTCGCAAGACAGTTAAATTTTAGGTCTCTGGTTTTCACTTTACGATGTTTTTGACAGCTTGGTCTTGCTTCGCTATATGAATCTTTTAATGGTCTCTGTTTCGTTAGACGGTTGTCTTTGCTTGGGAACCACGTTTTGCTTAACGATGTTTCCTATGGCAATTTTCGCTTTACGATGACAATCCGTTCCCATTGGAATGGATTATCAGGTTTTCAATGCATTTCAATGGGAAAACGTGTTTTGCAAGACGATGTTTTCACTTAACAGCGATTTTCACGGAACGAATTAACATCGTCTTGCGAGGCACCACTGTACATACACCTCAACCAAAATTGACTGTGTATTGCCACACCGTAAATATTATCAAGTGGGCCAAGATGTTTTACAAAAAAATTGAATTAGCACCTAACCTATTCATTTTGAAAAGTTTGAATATTCAACAGACATCAAGAGCCCTGTGAAGCAATGGTTAAATTGCAGTACTGCATTCAAAACTTTGCTCACAACCTGAGCTTGATCCCAACATGCTCAGGAAGCCAGCTCAAGGTTCACTCAGCCTTCTGTCCTTCCGAGGTCATTAAACTGAGTATCCAGCTCATTGGGATGGGGGGTTGGCAATGTGTAGCCTGCATAATTAAATTATAAACCTCCGAGAGACTGCCTTAAGCACAATAGGGTGATATAAAAGCAGCACACATGGAAGACCTCCCATAAGATTGAACATTTATTATATTATTTCTGTTTTTTTGTATAAAGTAAAATCTAAATATATTATTTTTGGTTTTTTGTATAAGCCACCCAGAATAGACATGTTCTAGATGGGTGGTATATAAGTCTAATAATTAATAATTTGTTTGTTTGTTTGTTTGTTTTGTTGTTGTTGTTGTTGTTGCTGTTGTTGTTAAT